CACACACACAAACCTCTTCTCATTTATTCTCGTCATTTCTCACCATCCTTATCACTTGCTCATCTTTCTGACCATTGTCTTATCCTCCACATAACTTTTTCATCCACAATATTCTGACTATAATTTATTTTATTCTACATTTGTCTTTGGACTATCTCACCCATTTTCACCCTGTCCTATTGTCCTCCATGTCTTTCTCCTAAATAAGCTCATTTGTGTGTGTATGTGTGTGTGTGACTGATGGACAGCGAAGGAGTGAGAATCCACTGTCTGTCGAGGACAGCATTAAGACGGATTTGGACAGGTTGAGGTGACGTTAACTCTGAAAAGCAGAACAAAGGTTGTCGAGGTTCGGGTCGTACAGCATCCAGAGTCAAGCTGCTGTTCTGCTTTCACCCAATCCTCTTTTGAGTAAGGAGAAAATGGGAGGTTGGAAAAAACAAGCAACAGACATTAAAAGATGAAAAGAAAAACATCTCTGTAAAACAATCATTGATCACTCGTCAGTCGTTGATTTTGTCTAATGAGCTGCTTGTTCCTTCTGGGAGTCAGATTAATGAGAAAAGCAGCCGCGCCTGTCACACTGAAACTAGAAACTCAAATTAAATCTCGACTAGGGTCGGCTGCCGAGAAGCACTTGACCATAGAGTCTTCCACATTTCTTGATGATGGATTTAACAGAGCTCCTGGGGATGTTTAGGGCCTTGGAAAACCTTTCGTTTCCAGCCTCTGACTTGTACTTTCCCATTATCGTTTCTATGAGCGGAATTAGGACACATGCTTTAAAGTGACTGCGACTTCAAATTTTTATAATAAATATGAATGCCTTTTTGTAAAGATCACATTAATAACATACAGTAAAAAAAAATTAAAATAAAAATCCCTACTGAAACGAACAGTTGTTGAGATATTCTCATGCGCACTCACAGGAACAGGGCATTGTAGGGTTGACAACGCAGACAGTGAGGAAGAATCTCGTTTCTTTAGATTATTTTGAGTCACTATCAGAGAGAGATGAAGAAGTGTCAGAGTTCAAATCATAACGTTTCAATAAACGAAGACTAGGGAGTTGTCCTTTTGAAAGAGTTCCCTTTTGTTGTCACTGTGTGGCTGACACAAATATATATATATTTCACGTCAGAATGTGCTCTTATTGTGAAAGGGACAGAATATAAAAAGAACAGATCAACGGTTGTAAATCATTCATTTTTTTCTGAGTTTGATGTTGGAAGACGTAGAGAATAAATCGAGACTCAAAATGTTTTTCGTCTCTTTCTACCGACTTCCACGTTGAATCACGTCGGGGTCACCAATGTGGAAGTCGGCAGAAAGAGACGAAAAACATTTTGAGTCTCGATTTATTCTCTACGTCTTCCAACGTCAAACTCAGAAAAAACGAATGATTTACAACCGTTGATCTGCTCTTTGTATATTCTGTCCCTTTCACAATAAGAGCACATTCTGACATGAAATATATATATATATTTGTGTCTGCTACAACTTCCCGTTTCACTTTGGCTGCACTAAGTTTAAAAGAAAACACGTTGTGTAACAAAACAGGTAAAATCATGCGCACTTTGTCAATGATTTTTAAATACTAAGATGTTTTCTATTACTTTTTTGTATTTGTAGGGGATGCATATGACAGCCACTTTCAAGGAGGTGAATATTTATGCACTTATTTTACATGACACGTTTTTATTTAATTAGTATTATTCTATAAATTTGATTTCACTTTGACAATGAAGGGTTTTTGTGTCAAATAGGCTGATTGATATTGACCATGGTTATTTCTGACAGCAATAAAAGCCTTTCATTGGCACTGTGAATTTGTCAATGAATCTACATACACGCACATGCACACACACACTCAAACAAAAGCACTATTCCTACTTTGCCTTTGGCGTGGCAGATAAAAATGCCATTTATTTATGCTTAAAGTGATAGTTCAGATCTTTTAAAGTGACTTTCTATAGATAGGTTATGAACAAGAAATATCTTACCTGTTGTACATACTGTAGCTCTTTGAGTGAACGTCTTTGCGCTTGGCCTCACTTAGACTAGTTCTTACTTTTATTGAAGAGATATCTACAAGAGGTAAGATATTAATTGTTCATAACCTTTCCTTTGAACCCCACTTCAAAAGATTTTAGCCATCCCTTTAAGACATTTGCTGCATGTGTGGTTCTATAATGGATTAGGATCTTGACTGCAAACCCAGACGTTCTGTGTGGTGGAGCTGGTTGATGCCCAGCGCCCTGATGTGACCCTCTTGGATCATCAGGAGGAAGTGCTCCACTTAAACTTTGCTGCTCCTTTGTAATTGAATAAGTCTGCTCAATTATGTAGAGGCAGGCCTGTCCTCATTACACGGCGCTATTAAAACACACGAATGGAGCCAAGAGGAAGAGAGCAGCTTGCGAGGAGAGGCGAGCTAAAAGTCATTTTCTTAAAAGCATAAAGTTTTATGGTTCTGTCTTCAAACTGTCGGCTGCTGCATCTGTACGGTGGCGGTGGAGTCGCATGAATGATGTCCTCCTGTATCTTATCTGCTTTGCCTGCAGGCTGATTACAGAAAAAAAAAAAAAAAAAAAGCTTGAAGGCAGCAGATTTAATCAGGTTCTTTCAAAGTTTACCTCAACAACTTCAGAAGAAAAACATCTAGCAGGGCCAAAGCTGCCAATCCACTTCCTCCAGGTGCTCTTAGCTCAGCAAAACGGATGTAAATCTATCACACATCTATTCATATCTGCACACACATGAACTGCAGGGGTCCCCTGTCATCTTCAGAGTCAAAGCCGACAGATTGCTCGTTTCTGGCTGCCTAACTGTTTATCCTCCTTGTCTCACTTCTCCAGGATCAGCTGAAGAACCTCCAGAGAGACTACAAGCATGTTAATGAAGAAGCTCTCCAGCTGCAGAGGTGCGTTCGCTTACACACAATGATAAACAGAATGGGCGACTTGCGAATCCTCGTTTGTCCACTCAGGGGACTCAAGAATCGCTGTTTAATTACGATAACCCAGACTGAACTTGTCCATCTGTGTGTCCTCTGATCCTTCCTCTCTTCTAGAGATCATCAGCAGACAACGGACCTGGACAACAGCATCTATATGAACCTGCCGCCCGATGAGAACAAGGTGTTGATGTGAGTACAGGCTGCATTTATCATTTAGAAGGATTAGAAAATGTGTTAAATTTCCAACAGAACAAGAATAAAAAATATTAATATCCATAATTTGTTTGTTTACCACAATTTCTCAGATCCTATAGTTGCCAAGATGAGCTAAGAACTATTTGCTTTCTTGTTTGTTTGTTTTTTTCCTCAACAACCTCTATTTGAAGGTTACACACACACACATTTATATACATCACAGATTAAAGCACAGATGGTCATACTGTACAAAAAAATTAATAAAATGGAAAACCATTCAACAGTCATGTTTGCGACTTTGCTCTTCGTTCGTCCAGATGTGTGTGTGTTAATGACACACATCACCGACCAGAACAAACGTCTCGCTGTGTCTGGGGGAACGTTCTTGATCCATTTAAGCAGTCAGAAATAATCTGTTTTAAAACAGAAATTAATGGAAAAGAAAATGGGGAGAAAAAAAAATCTCTATGAATACTTTAAACAAATTGAATTATGATGCCAGTTTTAAATTAAAGCCATCCTTTGCTTATAAGGAATGGAGTTGAAACTATTTTAGTCTGACATTGTCACATATAGAGAGATGCAGTGGTGGGACATCAGGGCCAGTAAAGCATCCCATGCTAACCTAAATACAATCAGAATTGCTAATTTACATTTTACTATATTTTTTTCAGTTAATTTTATTCTGAAATGTCTGTTCTCTCCATTTCATAGCTGTTTTTTTTTCTGGTTGCACAGCTTCCGGTTGAAAATATTTATGTAGAGCACTGATCCAGTCATATTTCGACCACCAGGGTCAAAGAAACCTGCTTCAGAATCAACAGAGCAGTCGCCTGTAGCTCAGAATAAATAGCAAACAATCTGTTTCTTTGACCAATCAGATGTTGAGCTGGCGACACCGGGGCCTTCTAGCAGGCATTAGACAACATCAGCATTTTCATGCTGTTTGATTGGACGGTCAGAGAGCGAACTGGTCAAAGCTAGGAAACCGCATCTGTAGCGACCTACACAAGCTAAATGTCGCATTCTCATCCCTAAAGTGAATCAAACTTGTGCCAGAAACACGACGGAGCAGACTGGACGCTCAGCATTCACTTCCATGGTGTTAGAAAAGGACTCACTGGTGAAAGTGAAACGTCATGATGAGCTCGAGGACAGAGGAACTGAGCTCTGAGGGAAGAAAGGAGGACGAGTCTGCGCACAGTTAAACAAAACATTTGATGAGTAAAACGCATTTATTCAAACCTTTTTAGTCGTTTTATTTTGTCCGTGTTGATGCTTTTGCTAAATGTGTATGTGGTTCTGCTGAGGCTGCAGTAAAAGGAAACATGTTGAATTGTGTTATTTGAGTTTCTTGCTTTATTAATTACATCTATTCCCGCTTCACGATACGTCTGTCTGTGATGCACAGACATTTTTTTTTAGACATTTCTGTGTATTCCTGGTGGTTTCTGTAGACGTGGCGTCATAATGACGGTACTAAGAGGTGGATGAACTCAGGCAGAACGCCACTGAAGGCCTCGCTGTAAAATGCACGACCCACAACAATAGTGCTCAAAGAATGTGCCGAGGATGACTGTCAACTACTGGCACACCAAATTTTAGGTCAATAACTTTAAAATGAACATCTTCTCTTACTGATTAGTTATGGTGGCCATCTTAGATGTGCATCCAGTGAATACAGAGAGTTTCATTCAAATCTGTCCATTAATTCATGAGATATTTGCTGATGCTACGAACAAACAAACACAAAGACGTGGGCACAAACGTTGCATTTCACCTTCAGCATTAGAGGATAATGTGCTAACATTAGAATAAAACAAAGGAAATGCAAAAAAAAAAGCATAATGAAGTCATCACTATTACTAATAAAGTAGACAAAAACCACAAAAAAAAAAAACATATTTACTCAAATAAAAATGAAAAAGGCTCAGTCTTGCATGAGGCTGTCTGCTTTACAACATTCTTGTTTTGGTTCTGTGGTTGTTTTGCTACATTTTCATCCCAAAGAAGACCACGTTCAGTTGTAATGTGTTTGTCAAACTCCTACATTTAGTTTTTCCAATTTACATGTAAACTTTATTGTTCCTTTGGTTTTGTTTAGTTGCAACCCTGCAGTTCAGCTTCAGAAACAAATACAGTCACAGGGTTGTACACAGTAATGTTTACTACTCCTTTAGTGTACGTTGTGTACAGTAACGAAGGGTCCTAATGGTCATCGCTGCATTTCACAGTCAGCATTCAAAGTCACTGCTTCAGACTGAACAGGTTGAATTTAGCTCTGTTGGAATCTATGATCACATTCTGAATATCTGTATTAAAATACGATGACGTCATTTCCCAAAACGTTCACATCACCAGTCCGGCTTGTTGTGTCCTCGTCTCTTCGTGCAGAATTCAACGGGCTTGGCGTGACTTTCTGCAACGACAGGAAGTGGAGAAACGGAGCCCCTCCCCACCTTCGCTCTCCTCCTCGGACAAGATGAGCATGTCGATCAGCATGATGACACTGTCAGACGGCAGCACTCCTGTAAGTCAACATCCTCCATTACAAACATGGGGCATGCGGGCAGCGTGACACCGTGAAGCGTGCAGCGGGGCTGTTTGTGGAGGTTGTGTGTTTAAGGACGGGTGTGATGGTGCTCAGACTGTTGGGGAGGAGGATCTCCTTATGGATTGGTTGTTGCTGTATGTTTGAGTAAATAGAAAACTTTCAGGTTGATACCAGAGCTAACCACCATCTGCATTGTTTTTTACTTATAAAACCCACATGCATTCACACACACAATCATTTTGAGCAAAAACAAATAACCCGATCAATGTTGCTTTGACGGCAAACTTTGAAAACATAAAGACGAACTTATTACATTTAAAATTTACAATTTACAAAGCCATCCCATGACATTCAGCCTTTGTGATTTGCTTCATATCCATTTTTGCTGTTGAAGCCGTGGACGCTAAATGTCCCAAAGAAGACTCGTAAACGTATCTTTTGACAAACTTCCTGGGGATGCCAAGTTCTATAACTCTGGATTAATGTTGCTTACATCTTTGATCACTATGTTCATGTAAATTTACAAGTTGTGTTGGGAATGTTTAGACAATATTCAGACATCAGTACACTGATCTATGTTGTAGTAAAATAGTGTTTATATATATCTATATATCTATCTATATATCTATCTATATATATATGTATGTATATATATATATGTGTATATATATATATAT